GGAGGGAGCATCTTCTGTGGGGACAGTGGGTGAGTGGGAAACAGGAGGACAGGGTCAGCTCTTGCAATGGAGGGTCATCGCTGGGGCTGCTCACCCAGCTGCTCATTTACTGAGCTCAGTAAATGACTGGAAAGGGGACGAGTAGTCAAATAGCATGAGGAGAGAGAAGCCAGCCATGGCTCATCTCCGAAGAGCTGTGGGAGATGGAATCAGCAGGGAAATGGCTGGTGAGGTTCAAAGCAGGTATGCATAGAGTGGGGGGGGTGTGTGTAAAATAATGGAGCCTGGAGCTCAATGGGATCCAGGCTTCACAAAATTGCAGGTTTAGGGTAGGAGCTAACAACCGGTGAGGTCATGGGGTGATGCTTCAGCTCTGCCCAGCCACGCTCCCAAAATAAATAAATCAAATGTAGCCAAACCAGGCAGGCCCTTGTCCTCCTGTGGAAACCCCTGAGCCACTCCTGCCTTGAATCCCACCTGTGGGGGTGGTCCTGCTGCTTGGACAGGGATGGTGGGATGGTGGAGGAGGAGGAGAGTTGGCCCAGCATCCAGGAATGAGAGGCCAGGCTATGTCAGCCAGGACAAGCAGCAGGTCATGGAGCCACAGGTCAGAAGAGGCCTGGGGAGGGCTCTTGTCATCCCCTTCCCGTTGGGAGCAGGTCGGGGCGAGATGCCCGGCGTAGCCTGGACACCTCTGAGGAGAAAGCCTTGGTCCTTAGGAGGTGACGGGGTGGACAGAGAGTGTGGACTCTGCCAGAGGGGGGATGGGTCCCTGCAGCTCCCTGGTGCAGCGCCCCGGGCCGACCCCCTGAGCTTGCTGCACGCACGCAGCCCTGGACAGGGCACGGCCAGCGCTCTCATGGCTCCTGGTCTGCTCGCCGCCACTTGCTTTGCACAACTTCACAGCGCCATTCATAGCTTCCACGGCAAGGACAAAGATGGGAGCACAGCTCCACCTGTTTATTGATGAGTGGTCACCGTATTGCCTGCCAGCCCTGGCAGCGCCACCGCCGGGGGCTGCAGCCGGTGGGGCAGAGGCTGCCTGGGCTTGCCCGGTCCTGCAGCATCATGCCGCTCTCAAAACTTGCTCCTCCGTCTGGGGACCCTGTGGTGCTTGGCCCTGCCATGCGCCCTCCTGCCAGGGTGGCTCTGCATCGTCCCGGCCAGGCAGGGTGCTTGGTGCCATGGTGGGGTCCGGTCCTGCAGCCACCCCGGGGACCCCGGCATGGTCGCAGCAGCACTGCGGGGGGCTGAGATCCCACTGCAGCCTGTCCCCATCACGCTGCCCCCACCGGCTGTTGGCACATGAAAGGGGGACGTTGGTGGGGACAGGGTGGAGGGATGCAGGGGCGAGGCTGTGCAACCATCCCGGCAGGCTCGGCGGACACTGGCAGGGAAGAGCTGTGCACGAGACATTGGTCCCAAAGCATCCCCCCGATGCCACCTTTGTCCCCAGGTGTGGGTGGCGGGGTCAGGCCAGGCCCCACACTTCCAGGTCCTGGACGCAGAACTCCTCCCGGGCTGAGAGGGTCTCGTTGTCGAAGGTCTCACAGGGGTGGCTGCCCCCGTGGTGCAGGTCTCCATCCAGCCACAGCCCAAATCTACCACTAGGAAGGTGCCAACGACATGATCAGCTGGGGGTCCCCTCTCCTGCCTCCTCCATGCCTGGACACCTCCCAGCCACCTCCTGGGGGATCAGCCACCTCCCCATCCCCCTCCCGCTAAGGACACCAGGCACAAGGGACAGGCAAAATGGGGATGAGACAGGACAAGCAGCCACCCCTGGGGCTGCCACCTGCCCGCAGGCAGGGAGAAGGCAGGCCTGCCGGCAGCCTGGTCAGGGGGATGAAAGGACCAGTGCTACTGGACAACCTCCACAGGTGTTTTGGGGTTCAAACCACAAGCATGTGCCTGGACCTGACTCCGCAGGGCAGCCTAGGCTCAGATTGTGGCCCTGATGGCCACCAGGGCTGGGGACCCCGTGGGCTGCCAAAGCTGCTGAAGTGGCTCCTACCTGCCCCCACCGAACATCAGCAGGTCCACATCCCCTTTCATGAAGAAGTTGTTCCTGCCCGTCCACCTGAACACCTGCATGGGGACAGCAGTCGTCCGGGACTGTGGGCTGGGGCACAGTGTCCCCATCCCCGTCCCTGTCCCTGTCCTGCGAGGGACAGCTGGGGGCTGCTGAGCAAAGCTGGCTCTGCCCATCCCCGCCATGTCCTGCTTCTCCAGAGGAAGACCTCACCAAGCCTGTGGGCACCATCCTGGTGCTGGCCTATCCCTGCCAGCAGCCCTGGGGGCCCCCCCCGGGGGCCGGCTGCCACCCACTGATGCCACCAGCAGTGTTGCTCCGTGATGCCACCAGCCCCATCACACACACATGGACCTCCACTGGCACAGGCAGACGCGGCTGAGCTGCCTCCACATCGTGCCGACGCTGGGCTGTGACCGCCCTGGCATGCAGAAGGGTCCCTGGTGATGCCCGGCTGGGCAGCATCCGCTTTCCTGAGCGCCCCCCCTTCCCTGCATGGCTGGCTGGGATTTGCCTTCTCCACCCCAGCCCTGAACAAACCCGGGGGACTACAGCCGGCAGGGTCCCCTGGCTGCTTCACCCATGTCTGGCTAAGCGCAGTCATGTCACCCCAGACCCTTCCCCAGCACCTTGGGGACCCCCAGGCATGGCCGGGTCCCAGGGGCATCACCAGCCCCCCCACACCCCAGGGTGCCCCGCGGCTGGCAGCCTGCAGCCCCCACCTTCAGCTCCGGGGAGAAGGAGAAGAGGAAGGTCTCCCCTGTCCCGTAGAAGCTATTGCTGCAGCGAATGGTGCTGGCACAGAAGGCACCGAAGGCCTGGGGGGGGAACAGAGTGGGGGAGTCCCATGCTGCAGTGCTTGATGGGGCTCCCCAACGCTGGAAGGCATCCCCCATCCTGCTGGCAGCAGCGAGGATGTTGCCAGGCCCCGGGTGACGCCAGGTTCGCTGCCCCCAGCACCACGGGGCAGCGGGGCTGGGGAGGGTCCAGCCGTACCTGTGCCTCTGTGTCCCTGATGAGCAGCAGGGCAGGGCAGCCCGGCCGGCCTCCGCACCGGTACAGGGTCCGCAGGCTGAAGCCATCCCGCGCGGTGCAGTACAGCAGGTGCCAGGGCTGCTGCGTCAGCCGGGGGGGCAGGTGGGGGCCCAACTGGGGCAGAGTGGGCTCAGCCGGGGCTGGCAGCTGCTTCTGAGCAGCCTCCCCACCCCACCCCAGCATTCTCCCAAGACGTCTCCCCAGACATCCTCCCTCCAAGCATTCTTCCAAGAGGTCTCCCCAAGCACCCTCCCCCCCTCCAACTATCCTCTCAAGAGACCTCCTCCCCCCCTGAGCACCTTCCCGAAAGGTGTCCCCAAGCATCCTCCCCCTAAGCATCCTCCCAAGGGGGCTCCTCAAGCTCCCGGCCCATGCAGCAGCCTCCCAGGATGCTTCCCCAAGCATCCTCATCCTGAGAGCCCTTCTGAGATGTCTCCCTGAGCATCCTCCCCCTGGCACCCCCCCAAGAGGCACTGCTGAGGTGGCTGTCCCCAGGGACAGGGGGATGTCACCTCTCTGGCCTTGCACTGGACCAGTTCCTGGCAGGACAGTGGCCATGGCTGCATGGCGCGGGAGAGGTGAGCATGAAGGTGGGGTCCCCATGCTGGAAGGAAGGTCTCTCACCTCCTGGAACTCCTCGTCCCGCAGGATGCTGCTCGGCGTGCTCAGCACCAGCCTGCACAGCTGCTCCAGGGCCGGGGCTGCTGCTGGGGCTCTCTCCCAGCCCGGCTGCCCCTCTCCAACTGGCTCCCCACATCCCATGGGCTGCTCCTCGTCCTGGTCGGGCTGGGGGCAGGTGGAGGTAAGTGTCCCTGTGGGTCCTGAGGGAACAGCATCCCCGAACCCGCCCTGCATGGGGTGTCTTCCATCCTGTGTCCAGGGGCTGAGCGAAGGGGCCCAAAGGCCGCAGGGATGGGCACTTGGCTGAGCCTCCAGCTCAGCTCCCGGCTGCCTGCTGCTCCTGACAGCCCTGCTGTGCTATGTCGTACCATGCCGTGCCATGCCGTGTCCTGGCACCCTGCCAGGCCATGACACCACTGCACACGGAAGTTCAAGGTTGTGGGGCTGCCCGAGGAGGAGGAGGAAGAGGAGGCTTCCACAACTTCAGCCTAACTTCAGCTCTAGCAGAAAGGGCGAAGCCCGACTGCTCCCCTCCTTGCCCATGGCCAGGCTGGCCCACAGCGGGCGGGGGGGGTCAGGGATGTGCCTTGGTCCTGTGGCAGCTGGTGACAAGTGTCTCAGCTGGCCATGGGCTCAGGGTGGCTGTGGGTGCA